GTTTATAATTATTCATAATTATTTATCATATTATAATTTCTTATAATTATTTATAATTTATTATATTATAATTTTTTAATTTTGTGTTTCAAACGTTAGCATACCTGGGATGTCTACTGGACTCTTGTTTGGGCAGATTTAGGTGAGTTATTCCTAAGATTTACTAAGAATTACAGGCCTACAATATAAAACAACAAATGTCCATGAAAAACAATGTACCGCTTTCGGATGCTAAAATCCTGAATAATCATACCGCCAGAGAGGTTAAAAGGGAAATGACAATATCCCCACTACACTTTGATTTATCAGGCCACAGCATGTTGTTTCAGAAGGATTTGTCTTTACCTATATATTTAGTGGCAAATTATGTGATAATGTTCTTTGTGGACAGCAGAGATTTTTTTTCCTGGCGCACTTACCAGGCAGGTTAAATTGGTTCAGTCTATTTCTGAAAGTAGATCCATGCACTTTGATACCAATTGTTGCTTGAGTTACCTGCAGATTCCGCAATGACATTTTTAGACTTCTTTTAGCATCAGTTCAAACACAAAAATTTCAGAGCACACTTACCAACCTACCTGCAAAAAAATAATAATAATAATTACACTGTTTAACATTTTGCATTATAAACAAATTGTTTTTGCAAAACTTTTGCAAAATATGTGGAAGTCACACTGTGTCGTCAGGGATCCTCTGTATAGTGTGTTCCTAACTGTAATCTATTAACAGCCTCCATCTTGGAGCATATATAGCAATGGATATATTGAGGAATGCCCTTCCAAATGCAAAGCCATTATTTGTGCACTTGCCATTTTATAGCATTCTTTTAGCATCAAACATTCAGCTCTTGGGCTGATTTTTCTGACCTCCCAAATTAGCAGTCACTTTAAATCTACACCAGTTGTAGAGTTTCCCTACAGTATAATCATCGATTTTAAATAATTTGGCAATCTTTTTAAATCTCCTGCCAGATTCATAGGCATTCATAACCTTTTTTTCTGAGGGCTCTTTTGATCTTGGCATGCTTGCACTGTACACATCTATACTAAAGTGCACACCAGACTCTAGATGTCTGAGGTTTAAAACAGATAGATTTCATTTGCAGATCCCCTAAAAAGGTTCTAATCATGGACATCTAACCTGGAACTCCGAATTCTAATTTCACGAATTTGAAGTAGCAGTAAATATATGTTTATACTTTGTCCATGTAATTTGCATTTTTGTTAATTTGGATTAAGAGAATGAAAACACCATGTCAACTTTATATGTCCTGTGTTCAAGTATTTCACCTTTATCTGTAGGCACTGTTTGAACAAAAATCTAATGTTTGCTTTTTCAAATATGTTGATGAATGTATTTTCTATTTTCATTTTTAACTTTTTTTGTTTTAACTTAGCTAGCTGTAAATACAAAAAGGTATACCAACATGAAATAAAAGAAAAAAAAAAACAAATAAAACAAGCAAAAACTGCAAAGTGGGCAGGGGCAGCTAAATAGCAACTGAGGTTGTTGCTGCCACACACAAAAAGGTTGTCCAAAAAACACTTTTGGGTCTATGCGTCTGTGCACTGTAATACAGATGGGGTACACTAATTGGTAGCCCACCACAATGCAATTTACAATAGAGTAGCACAATACAGCACTGTGCGAAGCACTGTATACAGCTGATAAGGGAAAGTGCTATTCCAGAAATGTGTTCCTGCACCATGTGATGCCATTTCCAGAAGGGACAGAGTTGGTTTGTGCACTGCTTGGTCCTTCTTACTGATGTTGGCTACTGAGCTCCAACGGTCTACATTTGGCCTTGACCATGTCTTTACTGCCTAGAGGGATTAGATCTGAAGGCCATTTTTTATACTAAACCATCTTTTGGAATCTTGTTTGTGAGTGTTTTAAAACTTTTTTTAACAAGGCTGCTTGTGCTACTCTCATTTTCTTTGTTTTAAAGCAACAAGTCAGATCAAGAATTAGGCTTTAGTTACTGAAGAGGAAGCAGGACTGCCTGGCAACTGCACATTTCAATAAATGTTCCAAAAGAAGGAACTGGTAATCCAGAAAGTCAAAAAGGTTCACCTCACAAAGGGTATTCAGATTAATCTTCTCATGGTCGTGGCATTTACAAAGCCAGAAAAGATAAAACCTGAAAAATGCCTCAGGGTGAAAAATATCTGAGGAGGGTGGAGGGTATGAGGTGCCTAAACATACCTGAAACTGATTTCAGTACCTTCTGCTTTTCCTGAATGCTGGTTCATTCTAACAGACAGAGCTCCGACATGTTCAGGTACTGCTGAAGCCTGCTTCATGCACATTCCTATTGGCCATTGAGGCAGCCCATCATACAGCAGTGATAAAGGGATTTAACGGGGCCTGACAGTAAGGGGCTGATGTATAAAAGTTTGCTCCGGCATATAGCTGGGTGAAAGTCATTTGCATGGCATTACAGCCACTAGATTTTACTCAAGAAATTCCTATGCTCCTCTAGCTCCATTTTGTAATTCCATGCAAATGGTGTTCACCCACTTATACGCTGGATGAAGCCTTTATACATCAGCCCCTAAGTGAAACTGTTGAAGCTTTGCCTGTCAAAATGGCAAGACATTCAAATGAAGCAGGGGGTACTAACAACTGCTGCAGGTATTTGCTGGCACATCTTGTCAGGTGAGTTTTCTTCCTGGACAAAACCTTAAAACTCTTGTTACCTGCTTTACTGGCTTTGAAAAGGCTTCACACATATATAGCAAATCTTTTTTACATTTTTGAACAACGTGTCAGTAAAGAGAATTACTCTAATATCCACTGTTGTGCACAATTAACTAAGCTATATTGAAGCACCACATTTGCTGCAGCTGTCCATTTTGTAATTTTCATATTTCAAGTTATAGTTTTATAGTATTAATAGCAAACTGTTTTTTAACTTTTAGAAATTGTTTGCTACCAAGAAACTGTGAAAAATGGTAATGTCAGATATACCAAGGAAACATACAGAGATGGAGAGACTGTTGAACTCACATGCAATGAAGGATACCAAATTGAGCACAATCCAGAAGAGCCCAGGAAATGCACATCACGTGGATGGAGCCCACCACTGAAATGTATTAGTAAGTACAAAAGGTTTTAATTGCATTGAGCATACCAACTTAATTGCATGTTACCTTAAAGTATATCTACAGTTTACCCAAGAACAAAAACAATTATTAATGTTTATCAGTCCTTAGATGTGGTGGCTGCACTAATTTCCTATTTTAGGATTTATTCCTTTTTTCACATAGTGATCCCGACAGTAACATGCCTTCTGTATTAGGGTGACTATGCTCACTCCTCCACTGTATCTATGGAGGAGTAGCATAGTAACTCTTGATAGAAGCATTCTCAACCTATGGAGACAGCATTAGATGGATTAGTAGATTTAAATGGACTTTATATAAGTGACTAACAAATTATGGTCTACCTCCAGCTACACACTTTTGAACCACTTGCTGTCTGGAGCAATTTCCTAATATTTGCACACATATGATAACATCTGAATTTTGGGCTAGAAAAAAGCTTAAAACCCTGAACAATGATGTATTTTCTGAAAGTAGAGTTACAATGTATTTTGTCACATGGTATTTGTGCAAATGTTTATCAAACCAGTATTTTTAGGCTTTACATTTAGTGCAGAGAAACAGAATATACTAACCAATTTTTCAGGGAAAATATAAAAGAGGGGATCACGTCAGGTAAATAGATACCAAACATGTGAAGCCTTTAAATTGCGCTTGCCTGTGAAACCGCGAAAAACTACAATACCCAAAATTTCCCATAGGCGACGCTTTAAAAGCTTTTAATGCTCATCAGTTTAATGTTAACAGTGATTGATGGCCCTAGAGTTATTACCCTCACTCCGAAATTTGCGGCAATATGTAACATGGGTGCAGCAATTTTCATGTTTGTACTTGTGCGTGTACATGGGGGCGGGGGACTTTAACAAAAAAAATTTAAAAAAATGATATGTTAACTTAATTGTCTATTTATTTTTTTACACTTAACCTTATTGCTATCACACAGGGGGATAATAAGCTCCCTATGTAATAGCAAATATGATGTAACAGGCCCTCTTTATGGAGACATCAGGGGTCTATCAGACCTCTAATGACACCTAGGGACCCCAAATAAGCTGATGAAGCAGCAATCTCCTTCACCAGCTTCTTCTTCTGGCTTTAGGAGCCAAACAATGTAAACAATGATACCGGCCGTGATGTAATACACATCACTTCTGGATCCAGTGATCGGAGGAGAGAATGCAACTAGAGTCCAGGGTAGCTGGTGGTGGTGAAGGGGGGCACATTCAGCTGCACCGTACAAGCAATCCGCAGGCTGGCTGTTTAAATGATACCAATATGTTCTTGGTATAACTGCTTCAGGACAGGACATTTTTGGGTTGGGGATAAAATTTTATCTATATTAATAAAAGCTGAACATTTTAAGCACCTCTTTCAGTTTTAAAAGGTTTGGCTCATCCTTCTAACTGCATGCAGCACAAATCTGTATTGCCCGGCTTCAGCAGCATCAAATTTAGTCCACAGCACCTGCACTGGTCTAGCTGTACTCTGCTGTTTTCTGGATACAACCAGGTTGTTGAAGGAGGCAGAGCACGAAGCAGCAGGATCACTGTACCTAGTCTACTTTACCAAAAAGTGTAAAACATTTTTTGGCATGTTATTTAAAAAATAAAGTTTTTCTTAAAAAAATTATTTGAGAGGTAATGTTCCTCATGTTATCCAGGCTCACATGTGGAGGCTGATTTACTAAAGGAGTTAAGAATCATCATGCTATAAATTGTGCGAATATTCACTTTGTCCAGTCATGTCAAAAGCAAATTCCAGTTAACTTATTTAATCTGCACATGCAGGGGTGTTGCTAGACTTGGTGTACTTGTGGGCACCTAGAGGAAAAGAATTAGGCAGAACCAGGGGCGTATCTGCCGCGAGGCAAACAAGGCGTTTGCCTGGAGCGGCAGATTCACTGAGGGCAGCACCGCGAGGGTTAATGACCTGGATGTGATGACGCGGACGTCGGCCTGGAGTGGACGGCGTGTGCAGATGGCGGGCGGCGTTGTTTTACGGTGAGTTTGTAAGACCGTGGGAGCTGCTGTCCACGGAGCGACGGATCCGTCCGGGGGGATTGATGCTGTCAGAGATCGGCGGGACAGGCCGGGGGGGGGCGCGGGTGCTGTGCGCGATCGGCGGGTCAGTCGGGGGGGTTGAACTGCTGCTGTCCTCGATC